GGGGGGCGTAAAAATGCACGGGAAAATGTGGAAGCGGTGGAAGAGTCAGCAGAAGAGGTCGTCGCAAAGACAAAAAGTGGAGGGAAGGCTATTAGGTAAGAACCACACCAGCGACAGGAAAAACACTTACCTCCGGCCGAGACTGACAGAAAGACAGGAAGGAAAGTGTGTAAGAACGCAGACTTAAGCGCGGGCAGCAGTCGCTGTCGTCGACTTCATAAATAAAATAGAAGTATGGACGGAAGTTAGGTAAAAAAAAAGTTGCACGATGTGCGCAGTAGCCGAAGTGGGCACCCTTTGAGAGCTCAAAAAACTACTGCAAGTAATGGCCTGTTGCACAGCGGCGATCCCACCCGCGAAGACAGCCGAAGCAACACCCGTCCATGCCATCTATTTCCGTGCACAATCCATGGTTTTCGATTTCAGCGTTTCATGTACACTAGAAAGAACCGGGTCCTGTCTACAAACGATTAATTAAAGTGCAAACAGTTTCCGCCATTTGCATTCCAACGTCTAGGCCAAGGCGCACTTTAGTAGTAGCAGTAGTGGTGGTGGTGGTAGTAGTAGTAGTAGTAGTAGTAATAATAGTAGTAGTAGTAGTAGTAGTAGTAGTAGTAGTAGTAGTAGTAGTAGTAGTAGTAGTAGTAGTAGTAGTAAAAAGGACCGGAAGCCATCTAGTCGATAAGAAGGAGATACGATCGCTGGAACAATAGCTTGATTCGCCGGACGTTTCGGATTGTCGCTAGAACCCATCTTTCAGAGATTGCTGTCTGATAAGAAGTAGATGCAATCGCTGGAACAAGAGCTTTATTCTCCTGACGTTTCGGATTCTCGCTCGAAGCCATCGTCAGAAACGCGGTGTCACTGTCACTGAGGCAGACTCTACCAGGTCGAGCCATCAGGTGACTCGACCTGGTAACAACGGGCGCTTCGTCTGGAGAAATGGAGATTTACAGCAGCACACAGACAACAGTGGGGGGAGGGGACGAAAACGCGATAACCTATGGACCAGAGTTGAAACCATCATTGGAACTTATTTGCCAATACCTAAAGGGTTCGCCTGTCGGTTGGTCGGCCTTGCTGGTAAAAAGCATATAAAATTGACAGGCAATGGAATCAAAGTTTCCTTAATTTTTGTGAGTTACGAGCACTGACAAATTGCAAACTGGAGATCTCAGATTAACTGCTCGAGCTGGACAGAATTTTCTGTTCGACAATTATATATAAATAGGATTCCCAGGCGCACCAGGTGCTTGACCCTACCTGACAGGAAGTTCTACTCAGAAGGACAACAGGGGAGTCACACAACCAGAAAACGCTTGCTGCGACATAAAGATCGAACCGCGGACCACTGGAACTCGCGTCGAGCTGACTGGATGTGACGGAAAGCCTCCGTCTAACGTGCCACAATTACAGTGAGTGACCGATCTCATGAAATGTTGGCTGAAATGCTGAAATGCGTTTTCGATTAGGAAGGATTAACTGGTCGCGCTTGTAATACTGATTATCTTAAGGCATACTCTTATAACATTTCGGACTCGGCAGGATGTCGGTTTTTAAATGCACTTCTTTTTAATCTCCTATAAACATCGTGACTGGTAAAAAATGACTACTTAAGTAGCATGCATTTTTCCCATTGATTTTCGATGGTCTTGGAAATTCAAATATATTTTATAGAAACCATAAACAAAAATTGCTTTCTTTTAGTCAATCAATAGAGAATCACGTCTTCGTTATATTTTATACTTAAGAAAGGAGTATAATTAGGTTTTTAAAAAGTTTTCTAATTGCCGAATAACTTGGAATCTGAGCATTCGTTGCATTAGCGCTTACTGATTTCACTCTACAAGGTGCATGCGTTCCGCGTAAAGAAAATCACATATTTTTATGCCATTAAAGAGATATCATGCAGAATCCATAAAATTTTGCAATGGATGCGGACTATGTTGTACATTTCATGAGGAGCAGTGGTAAACGGTCAGGTACGATGCTATGTAAGCGGACATTTTGCGGTCTTAAAAAGTGTCATGATTAGAAACTTTTTTAAAACCTAATTATACTCCTTCCTTAAGTATAAAATATAAAGAAGACGTGATTCTCTATTGATTGACTAAAAGAAAGCAATTTTTGTTTATGGTTTCTATAAAATATATTTGAATTTCCAAGACCATCGAAAATCAATGGGAAAATGCATGCTACTTAAGTAGTCATTGTTTACCAATCACGATGTTTATAGGAGATTGGAAAGAAGTGAATTTAAAAGCCGACATCCTGCCGAGTCCGAAATGTTATAAGAGTATGCCTGAATATAATCAGTATTATAACCGCGACCAAGTAATCCTTCCTAATCGAAAACGCATTTCAGCATTTCAGCCAACATTTCATGAGATCAGTCACTCACTGTACACACTCAGGACACACATGCGTAGACAATGAACAACAAAGACACTAAAGGTGAGAATTACAACAGTGAGACTCACCTGTTGTGTCAGGACACCCAAATTCACAGAAGAGCGGATGGGAGCGGAGGGGTCGTTGGTAAGATTAAAAGCGGTTGTTGCAAGGTCCTCAAGGGAGAAGTGCTTGCAGATGAGTCCCACCGTGTAGAGAGCACGAAGAATTGAGGGCCGTAAGTGCGGGGGCAGAACAACAGAGAAACCACCAGTAGACGCAGAAGTTGTCACCGCAGACGAACCCCCGGTCACCTTAGAGCATGTCGTTGAAGACGAATCCGATCGCATCGCCTTGGCTGCTCGGTTCAGGGAACGCCGACGTTCGTTGATCAGCAGCTCTAAAGGACCGATAAGAACCAAGATAGACCAAACTCTAGGGGCGGAAGACACAGGTGAGGTCTTAGATCGTAAGGCAAGGGCACTTCGCGCCCGAGAAGAACACATTGTGAGCTGAGGGGGGGGGGGTCATTTCCGAAGGGAACTGTCGCGATGGAAACAGGGTTAATAAGGAGTGGACTTTATAGCTAACATCCGTGTAGACTCGAATTCGGTGGCAGACAGCATACTGGCATCGCGTCGGAAGTTGCCAATAACCATCTGGCATATTTGGCGAAGGCGACGTACTCACTCCGTTCTTCAATGGGGTCCTGACCACGGCTCTTGAAAGCTGTGGACTGATGAAGAATGGCCAAGGGTCGAGCGAAATGCAGCGACGAGGCAGTTTCTGACTTACGCGAACTAGTCAGTCGGCCATGCACCAATTGCAGGTCAGGAAGACCAGAGGTATGAACTCGGATCAGCTGCTCTGGGGTGAAACGAGATCTTACAATCGGCTTACATAGGTAGGCGTCAGGCTGTGCTGACTGCCATCGGATGCATTCACATCTTGTAAAAAGTGGCGCTCGTAGATGTGACCCGGCTGTTTTCGATAGTAATGATATCATCAGGTCTGGGATGAGTCTAAGCTGGTTTGCGGAACAACTGGAATTGGTGATTCAGGAGAAAACTACGCGTCAACAAGTCCAAATTCGTTGAAATAGTAGGGATAAACGCCAATGTCGGTTTAAACTGGGAACGTTCACAGGCTGAGTCATGCTCGAGGTGCTTGAGGAGGAAAAAGTCGCTCGAGTGACAACCAACTGAGAGTTGTAGTAGGTAGACAGAGGAACTGGATGATCATTTCTGGGTTATGTGACATCCTGGGCTGGTCATACTTAAACCTCAGATCACCGAGCCCCGAAATGGAATTCAGATCAAGCCTTTTGAGGCTACAGGAAGCCTTATAATCAAAAAATTTAGCTACGAATCAAGCTGAGCTGGTGGAGGCAGAAACTACACACAGTCCTCTGGAAATGATGTACGCCAGAGCTCATAAAAAATAGGAACGCTTACAGGATTTGTGCAGTTTCCACGCCCCAGCCCGCGTTATGGCGTTGCCTCGGGGACAACCGCTCACGGAGTAAATAAAAACCGAGCGCTTTTAACTTACCGGTCAATCATACAGCCTCTCCACACCCCCCCCCCCCGGGTTCCACCCTGACTGGTTTAAGCAGGTCCTCGAGGAGAAAAGAAGTCAACTACG